CAGGGAGATCCCAGCACTGAAATCTCAGCAGGGAGATCCCAGCAGGGAGATCCCAGCAGGGAGATCCCAGCACTGAAATCTCAGCAGGGAGATCCCAGCAGGGAGATCCCAGCAGGGAGATCCAGCAGGGAGATCCCAGCAGGGAGATCCCAGCAGGGAGATCCCAGCAGGGAGATCCCAGCACTGAAATCTCAGCAGGGAGATCCAGCAGGGAGATCCCAGCAGGGAGATCCCAGCAGGGAGATCCAGCAGGGAGATCCCAGGGGCTCTTTCCCGTGCTGAGGGACGGGGCTGGGGGGGCTGGAGCTGGGCCTGGGAGATCCTGGCTCTGCTGCCCTGGGGTGTCACCTGCAGGGATTGTCCTGGGACAGAGCTTGTCCTAGGCCAGGGTTTATCCTGATCCTAGGCCAGGGTTTATCCTGGGCCAGGGCTGGTCCTAGGCCAGGGTTTATCCTGATCCTAGGCCAGGGTTTATCCTGGGCCAGGGCTTGTATTAAGACAGGGTTTATCCTGGGCCAGGGCTGGTCCTAGGCCAGGGTTTATCCTGGGCCAGGCTTTGGGCAGCTGAGCCAGCAGGGCTCTCAGGACACAGCTCTGCAGCTCCAGGTGTTTCTCAGCCATTTCAGCCCCAGCTGAGCTGCTCAGGGGTGTTTGTGTCCTGCTGCTGCTGGGGGTGAGCCACCCTGCCCCTAAAGAGCCCAGATTTATTAATTACCCTTCAGCCTGTTGGTAATGAGCATAAGAACACATCTGTGGCTTTTTCATGACCTGTGTCCACACACAGGGACCTCCAACTGCAGTGGGTGTTTCAGTTGTGAACTGGGATTAAACTGGTATCCTGGAATTCCAGGATAGCACTTTAATTACTGCTAAATTATTCTGATATTTAAATTATTAGTGCTTTATTTGTTTATATAATAATATAATGTTGCTTAATAGGGATTTTAATAAAATCTGTATTTTAATTATATATGTAAATTTAATTTTTAACATCATGATTTATTTATTATTTCATTGCTGCTAAATAAATAAATATATTTTACAAAATAAATAAATTTCCTGATAAATAAGTGGGAGTCTGCAGCAACAGGAGATATTTCTTGTTGCCTCCTTCACCAGATGAGGAGTTCAGACTGACCTGGAGCTGATCAGTGCAGCCTTGGGGTTTATTTCCCACTTGGTTTTCAGGCAGTTCTTCTGCCTCCCTGATAAACAGAGACATTTGGGAAGAGATAAGTGGGAAAGACTCACTCAGGGCTTGGAAATCTGCATATTCCCAGACATTCCATGGTTCTGTGATCCTGCTTCAGGAGTTGTTTGTACCTCCAGAGTCCTGGCTTGGCCTGGGTCACTGGACTTGGTCCAGTTTAGCATTTCCTTTTATTCACATTTTGGGTTTGTTTGTTAAATCTGGCTCAGCAGCAGCCCCACTTTACAATGTGATCTCTTCCACTGTGGTGATGATGGATTCATTTGAAGGCCATGCACAAAGTCAGCAGTGAATATCTTCTGTCCCTGCCACTGTCCAACCCATGCCATCCCCTTCAGGTGGAGAACAAAGCCGAGAGCGAATCTGAGGAGGGAGAGAAGGTCCCGGAAGGGGAAAGCGAGCGGAGCGGGGAGAAGGAGCCAGAGAGCGAAGGGGCTGCAGAGCCCAAGCCAGGTAACAGCTGCTCCAGAGAGCTTGGGACAGCCCCAAACCCAGCTGGGAATGTTCCCTTGGCACCTCGGGCTGCTCCTGCTCAGGGCAGGCTCCACCTGAACCTCCCTCAGGCACCAAACCCCTCCCTGAGCTTCCCCTGGGTGTGGGGGAAGGAATCGCAGCACCAAAGCGCCTGTGGGGCATGGAAAGGGCAGGGGCTTGTTCATACCCACAATATTTCATCATTTGGGATGCAGGGAGGTGCAGGTGTACAGGGCTGGAGCAGCCTGGGACAGTGGGAGGTGTCCCTGCCATGGCAGGGGTGGCTCTGGATGGGCTTTAAGGTCCCTCCAACCCAAACCAGTCTGGGATCCTCTGCTCACTTCTCCTCTTGGAAGTTAATATTTCACCTCAGTTTCCCCTGGGAAGGGATGCCAGGCCTGCATTTTGACAGGCTGAGGAGTGACAACATCTACATAAAACCTTATTCTTTTTGACATTTCCCCTGTGCCTCATAAAATCCTGGAATTTATGGGTTGGAAGGGAATGTAAGGATTATCCAGAGCCACCCCAGCCATGGCAGGGACACCTCTGTCACTGTCCCAGGCTGCTCCAAACCCATCCAGCCTGGCCTTGGGCACTGCCAGGGATCCAGGGAATGGATAAATTGCTTTTTTCCTGCAACTTTAGATTCATGTTTTTAGCACCATGTAAAATAAGGAACGTTTGGGTTCGATGGAGCTGATTTGGAAATGATGAGGGGAAGCTGCTGGCAGGTGCAGAATTGAGAGGATGGGAATGAAAACCATTGAAAGTTGCCCCATTTCTTGGGCCTGATCCTCTCAAACTGGGGTTCCTCCATCAGTGTTTGGATGGGGAGCAGTGCTGGAGCTGAGGATGAGTTAATTAGCGCCTGACTAATTAGCGTGGTGGCCTGGGAACACGTGTAACGGGCTGGGCTGGGAATGTCTTGCAGAGGAAAAGGAGGCAGAGGAGAACAAGGAGAACGTGGATGGCAGCAAGGACAAAGAGGCCGAGGCTGGGAAGAAGAAAGTGGAACACGAGATCTCGGAAGGGAACGTGGCCACAGCTGCAGCTGCTGCCTTGGCCTCTGCTGCCACCAAAGCCAAGGTTGGTGCTGTCCCAACACCCTGGGCTTGGCTCCCAGAGCCTGGAGAGCTCCTTGGTGCCAGAGCAGTTCACCCCCTGAGCCCTGACACCTCCCAGCAGCACAAGTGCTGCCTTAATTTCTCCTGCCCGAGCCCCCCCCACGAGGGAGATAACGACCGGTGTTAATTAAGCAGCTCCCTGGGTGATGCTGAACTGGAGGAACACCCCTAAGGAACAGCCCCAAAATGTGTGTGACTTGTTGGCAAGGCTTTTGGCTGCGGTGCTGAGGGGCACAGAGCCTTTGCTGGCCTGTTCTGCTGGCCCAGGGCTCCACACAAACCCCTGGGCTCTGTCTGGAGCAGGCACAGAGGGCTCTTCACTCCTGGCACTGCAGCTTTCACAGACACCTCAGTGATTTTGTGTTTGTTAAAAGCACGTTGGTGTCTCCCCTTCAGCTCCTGTTTGTGTGTGGTCTCTAATGAGCTGTGTTGAATCAGCTTTTCTTTACCCTGTAATTACTAATTGCACGTTGTCTCGCCTTTCCTCCTCGCAGGAGCCACGCTGCTTTCACTGCTTTTAGAGTATCTTTTTCAAATCTGTTTTCTCTTTACTAATTCCTTTGGATTCAGGTTTTAATTTGGGTTTTTTAATGGCTCTTGGGTTCAGTGCCACATTCCACATCCACCTGCTTGATAGAAACCAAGAGCCATGGATGGTGTTTATTCCTGATGGGTTTCCATGGATGGAATGAGGTGCTGTGTGTTCTGTTAACTTTCCCACTCTGATCTTTCAACTTCAGACTTTTTCCCCAGGGTGAGGGTGGTGGGTGATGTCCTGTGCAGTCCCTCCTTTTGAATCCAGGAGATGGAGGATATTTCAGTTCTTACCTTTCAGACCAGGCTGTAAAACCCTGCATGGCAGACAACTCCAGACTAAAAATCCCAAACTGCAGGCAAAGCTGAGGTTGAGTGTTTTGGTGAAGTGCAGAGGCCAGAGCAGCTCCCTTGTGCATCCCTTGGCTCCTGAGGGTGACTCTCAGCTCATCACACCCACAGATACCCTCAGCCAAGCTGGAAAAACCTGTATCTGTGTGAGGAGACATGAAATTTAGTCAGTGTTTTATGGAAGGCCAGTTCTCCAAATGAAGATGAGCTGCTGCTCTCCTTCCTCTGGAGATAACGAGATGGAGGGAGCAGGGACCTGGCTGGTGGCACTTTTCAATATGGCACTAATAATGTTCTGGAAGAGCTTCAGCTTTCCATTACAGGGAAAAATGTATTGTAATTAGGAGGTTGACACTTCAGAGTAGAATTCAGGTTCAACAGGGATTTCTCTTCCCACTCACATAAAAATCCAGACAATATTAGAGCTTTGGGTGGTCTGTGTCTTGTCTGAGGGAGTAATTAAACTCTTCATCATAAACTCCAGGCCTGCTCATGTGAAAAGCTGTTTTCCTTAGGATTTGATATCAGAAGAATATTGCAGGTGGATTCTGAGTGAAGGCAGGGGTTAAAGACAAGTGATTGAAACGGGGGTTTTGTTTGTTTGGGGATTTTTTTTCCTTTGGTATTTTTTCTTTTGGGATCAGTGGCTCCCAGAAGTTGAGTTGTGCTGTTTGAGAAATGGTGAACGTGAATGTTCAGGGTGAGACCCTGTATTTCATACACACCAGCAATTTCAATGTGTTTTTACAGGTTCTGAACAAACAGAGTTAAATTTTAAGTTCCTTCTGCTCGTTTTCCTCTCAGTGGACACCCAGTGTGAGCTGCTTTTCCCTTTCTGTTCAGAGGGATCCCTGATGGATCCTGGCCTGTGCTGCCCCTTCTCTGCTCCAGCTGGGACTGAGCTGCAAGCTTGTGCTCTTGATGCATCACTTCCCCTTCCCAGAACAACTGTTGTGCTCCCAGTTTGACCTCCTGCCAGCCACTGATCCCCCCAGATTCCTGCTGGAGGTGGCTGGGACTGAGGAGATCATTCCTGGAAGCTGCTGATGCCAGCGATGCAGCAGAGCTCCAGGAGAGCTGGAGAGGGGCTGGGGATGTGGGATGGAGGGACAGGACACAGGGAATGGCTCCCAGGGCCAGAGGGCAGGCTGAGATGAAGATTGGGAAGGAATTCCTGGTTCTGAGGGTGGGCAGGCCCTGGCACAGGGTGCCCAGAGCAGCTGGGGCTGCCCCTGGATCCCTGGCAGTGCCCAGGGCCAGGCTGGATGGGTTTGGAGCACCTGGGACAGTGGAAGGTGTCCCTGCCATGGCAGAGGTGACTCTGGATGGGCTTTAAAGTCCTTCCAACCCAAACCATTCATGCATTCCATGACTTTTTTATAGCATCACTTAGGCTGGAAAAGCCCTTTAGGATCACTTGCTCATTTATGACTCAGGGCTGGTGCAGTGATGGGTTTATCAGGCATTTCAAATTACCACTGAATTTGTGTTCCTGACTTTCTGGAGGGATTTGTCTCTGCCCACAGAAAGCCCTGGGTAATGCCAGGCTGAGGAACTTTTGAGTCTCTCTAGGAAAAACTTCAGGGATCATTTCCTTTCCAAGGTGTATTTTGAGACTCATCCTTTACCTAATCATGTGCCTTGATTAGCCCTTGATCCCATTTCATTATTAAAATTGCACATGTGAAACAGAGTGAAAGGTTTGGTAGAAGGCTCTGTAGCACCAGGTGATTTCCTCACTCTGGATTTCATACTGATGAGTTTATTTTACTAAACAGTGTTAGATGACATGAAATTTCCTGTTCTGTCAGCTTTGTTTCGTTATTTTGTGTGCAGCACTTTGGTCACTTTTGGAACAGCTGCTGGAATTTCCCAGGGATGTGGTGTTGGATGAGCTCGAGGTCACTCTGCTTCTCTCAGACCTGATTTGAAATTCACTTTAGAGACTCAGGAGTGCATTTACTCACATTTACTGAGCCCTCCTGCACAGCTGGTGGCTCAGGGAGGTGAACCTTGTCAAATGGCACAGGTTTGAGAAATTCTGATTATATTCAGAGTTCTAGGGAGGTTTTTAGTGCTGCTTTCCTCCAGCTCAGTGTTTGGGGCCCAGCTCCCTCTGTAGGAGTCTGTTTGCAGCTGGGGCTGGATGAGCTCCAGCTTTTCCTTTTTTTTCCTTTTTTTCCTTTTTTCCTTCCTCCCCTCAGCCCTCACCTTTCCCTTCTGGCAGCCCAGGACGTGTCAGGATGCAGAGCCCCCCAGGCAGGGCATGGCTGGGTGCATTCTCAGGGTGCTCTCGTTGTGAGCTGCAAGCTTTTAACAAAAATGAGGAAAGGCATCATGGCTTGTCACTCTCTGGGGGTGTGAAACCCTTCCATGGCTGTATCCAATATCTATACACAGCTCTCTGGTGTTGTTTATGTGTGGATATAAATGGGATGAAGTTAATCAATTCAAAACAGATTTGAGAAAAATCTGTTTTCCCAGCGAAGAGGTGGCAGTGCCATCTCCCTGCTTTGGGGTTGTTCTGGGTCACATTCTCCTGTGTGTGTCCTGCTGGCAGCTTTTGGGTGACCCCACTGAGCAGAGCCTCCTTCCTCATCTTCATTCCCACTGGGGGGCTTCGAGGCAGAGCTCTGAGCATCCTCCACACCTCCTGTATGAAACCTTCACACCTCTTTATTTGATTAAAACCTTAATAATCGTCCAAGGGCCTCTGGTTCCCAGCACAAGATTTAGAATTCCCTGGTTTCTGTCCAGAAGTGGGACAGGATGGCTGAAGCTGGCTGGTTCCCTCCTCTCCAAGCCCCTGTTGTTCCCAGTGTCACAGAACAACCCCTGTGCTTCCTCCCCAGCACCTGGCAGCTGTGGAGGAGAGGAAAATCAAGTCCCTGGTGGCTCTTCTGGTGGAGACCCAGATGAAGAAGCTGGAGATAAAACTTCGCCATTTTGAGGAGCTGGAAACCATCATGGACCGGGAGAAAGAGGCAGTAAGTGGGAATTTGGGATTAAATCTCTCACTGCAAAGATCTGTGTGCCAACACCTGCAAAACCAGCAGCTCCACTCCTCCCTTCTCCCTTCCTTCCCCTTCCTTCTCCCTTCCTTCCCCCTTCCTTCCCCCTTCCTTCTCCCTTCCTTCTCCCTTCCTTCTCCCTTCCTTCTCCCTTCCTTCTCCCTTCCTTCTCCCTTCCTTCTCCCTTCCTTCTCCCTTCCTTCCCCCTTCCTTCCCCCTTCCTTCCCTCAGGGGCTTGGGAGCCCTCTCCTCCTCCATCCAGTGTTTCCTCTATCCCACAAGCAGCACCCTGGGGGTGTCCTGGCTTTGCTCCCTCACCCTTCCCACATGGATTGTGTCTGACCTGGGAACAGCTTTTCCCTGGAAGGGGTGGAAGGGGTGGAAGTTTTCCTTCCCTGGGGGAGGGAGCCAGCCCTGCCTGCCCTCGCCCCCGACCCCTCTGAGCAGTGGGGTCCAAGGAGGTGGCTCAGGTTTTTGGGAGCATTCTGAGGGGATGGGGAAGGCCTGGAAGTGGGATGTGGAGGTGGAAGGGGGATGCTCAGGAGTGGCAGCCTGGCTTTGTGGTGATGATGATGGCTTTGCCTGAGCTGGGAAGGCAGCAGCAGCTCCAGGAGAGGGGAGGAGTGAGTCAGGACATGGAGAGGAGCTGTCTGGGCCTGGATTACTCAGGAATTACGAGCAGTTGTGTCACATGTAGGGCCAGAGGCTCTGGGGAAGTGTTTCCTCTCCGGCTGAAAGATGGCTCCAAATCTCATCTTTATCAGAATTGACACTTTTTAATTTCATTTTTCTGGGTTTTTGCTGCCTCATTGTTGAGAGTAGCCAGTCGCTATGGATGGGTTGAAGATTCAACCTGGATTTTGTTGATTGATAATTCCAGGGATTCCCACGTTTGCCCTTCTGTGTGAATTTAATGGAATTACACCCCCATTTGGCATTGATGGAATCCTGTCTCAGGCTGGAAGGGACATGAGGTGCAGCTCCTGCTCCTCACAGCAGCTGAAAATAAACCATGAGCATCATGCAGGCATTCCCTGGGCTCTGGTGCCGTGGCCACATCCCTGGGGAGCCCGGCCACCCTCTCCATGGGGAACCTCCTTTGCAATCCAGAGCTCCCCCTGATCACACTGATGGGCTTTGACAGGATGGGGACTTCTCTTGGAGCAGGATGTCAGCAGGAATTTCTGGATTGCTCCACATCCTCCACCATCTCAGTCTGTGTGTGATTGGCAGCTCAGGAAATGGACCCATCTCTTTTGGAAAGGTTCCCTGCAGATTCTTTCTTTGGGGGATATATTCCATTAGTGACAGGGAAGTTGTTTTTTTTTTTCCTCCTTTTTGAGGCATATGACATTTCCCTTTTTAAAAATGTGCATACCGATTTTCCCCTTGGCTTCCTGGTGCTTAAATTCGGGCTTTTCACCTGTCATTGTGGATATTTAGTGGAATAATTAAAGCAGAAAAACCTCCTTGCTGCCACTGCACACTGTGCCTGGCTTTTCCTTGCAGGGAAGGAGCAGGGATATGGTGAGTGTTGACAGGAATCAGTGCTGCAGACTGGAGGGTGTTACATTTCAGGCAAAACACATTTATTTGTGTTTGAGCTGAGCAGTGCTGAGTGTGGGAAACCTGGGCCTGTTGGTGGAGCTTTGCCCATTAGAATTTCTAATGGCACTTGAAGCTTTGCTGCTTCTGTTCAGGGAGGAATCCCTGAGGTTGGAAAAGCCCTCCCAGCAAGTGGAGCCCAATGTCCAAATCCCCACCTTGTCCCCAGCCCAGGTCACTGAGGGTGGACACCTCCAGGGATGGGCACTCCAGACCTTTCTGGACATTCCAGACCTTTCCTGGGCACTCCAGACCTTTCCTGGGCACTCCAAACCTTTCCTGGACACTCCAAACCTTTCCTGGGCACTCCAAACCTTTCTGGACATTCCAGACCTTTCCTGGGCACTCCAGACCTTCCTGGGCACTCCAAACCTTTCTTGGGCTCTCCAAACCTTTCCTGTGTTCTCCAAACCTTTCCTGGGCACTCCAAACCTTTCCTGGGCACTCCAAACCTTTCCTGGGCTCTCCAAACCTTCCTGGGCACTCCAGACCTTCCTGGACATTCCAGACCTTTCCTGGGCACTCCAAACCTTTCCTGGGCTCTCCAAACCTTCCTGGGCACTCCAAACCTTTCCTGAGCACTCCAAACCTTTCCTGGGCACTCCAGACCTTTCCTGGGCACTCCAGACCTTCCTGGGCACTCCAGACCTTTCCTGGGCACTCCAGACCTTTCTGGACATTCCAGACCTTTCCTGGGCACTCCAAACCTTCCAGGGCTCTCCAGACCTTTCCTGGGCACTCCAGACCTTTCTGGACATTCCAGACCTTTCCTGGGCACTCCAAACCTTTCCTGGACACTCCAAACCTTTCCTGGGCACTCCAAACCTTTCTGGACATTCCAGACCTTTCCTGGGCACTCCAGACCTTTCCTGGGCACTCCAGACCTTTCCTGGGCACTCCAGACCTTTCCTGGGCACTCCAAACCTTCCAGGGCTCTCCAGACCTTTCCTGGGCACTCCAGACCTTTCTGGACATTCCAGACCTTTCCTGGGCACTCCAAACCTTTCCTGGGCTCTCCAAACCTTTCCTGTGTTCTCCAAACCTTTCCTGGGCACTCCAAACCTTCCTGGGCTCTCCAAACCTTCCTGGGCACTCCAGACCTTTCCTGGACACTCCAAACCTTTCCTGAGCACTCCAAACCTTTCCTGGGCACTCCAAACCTTTCCTGGGCACTCCAGACCTTTCCTGGACACTCCAAACCTTTCCTGGGCTCTCCAAACCTTTCCTGGGCACTCCAGACCTTTCTGGACACTCCAGACCTTTCTGGACACTCCAGATCTTTCCTGGGCACTCCAGATCTTTCCTGGACTCTCCAAACCTTTCCTGGGCACTCCAAACCTTTCCTGGACTCTCCAAACCTTTCCTGGGCAGCCCCTGCCAAGGCCTGAGCCCCCTTTCCATGGGGAAATTCCTGCTGAAAGGCAGTTCTGTGCTGGAGATGCAGCTGTAGCACACTGAGGTGTGTATGAACAGCAGGTGCTTGTGCAGCACCTTGGCAGCAGCACAGGAACAGGTGCTGGGTATTGGGGATTGTCACAGCCAGAAGCAGCTCCCTGAATTCCAGCTGATCTCCTGAGCAGGGACACTGCAGGGACACTGCAGGACAGGCTCCAGCAGAGGCCACAGAGATGTTGAGGGCTCTGGAGCGTCTCTGGTGAGCAGAGACTGCGGGAGCTGGGCCTGGGCAGTCTGGAGAAGGGAAAGGCTCAGAGGGGATCCCATCCATCCACACAAATCTCTCCAGCTGGGCCAGGAGAAGGGGCCACACCCTGCCCAGAGCCAGGAGCCAAGCAGCAGTGGCCACAGAGCAGAGGGCAGCAAGCTGCAGCTGAGCAGGAGGAAGAGGCTGGAACAGCTGCCCAGGGGGACCTGGAGTCTCTGGACACATCCCTGTGTCACCTGCTGCAGCTCACCCTGCCCTGGGGGATCTCCAGAGCCTCCCAGCCCAGGCTCTCGGGGGGTCTGGGGCAGCTGAAGGTTCTCAGCCTCGCTCCTCATTCCAGCTGCAGCAACATCTCAGACTGCAGTGCAGCTGGAGGTTTCTGATGGAGTTCCCACAGGAAAATGTGTTACTGGAAAAGGTTGTTTTTATCCCAGTCTGGGATTGTGGGTGAGATGGTGACAGAGCCTGCTGCTGAACCAGGCTTTGGGCTCTGTGCTAGAGCCCAGGCTTGAACTTGGCTCAGCTTTAACCAACTCACGTTAGAGCTTTTATTTTTGTGCTTTTTTTCCTCTGTCCAGCTGTCTTTCCTCATCCCAAGCACAGGAATTGTGCAGAAGGGAAGTTCTCCCTGGTTTTTCTTACTCAAATGTGAATTTCCAGGCACTGGCTGCTGTTTGGGCATCCTTGCAAAGACTCTTTTAAACTGTAGCAGGATTGGGTGCCACGAAGAGAGCAAAGCAGGGCCACAAAAGGGTCTCAAAGGAATAAAAAAGTGTTGCCTGAGCTTTTGTTTGGGGTCATTTGCAGGAATTCCTCTCCCAGCTGTCTGCCACCTCGGGAATGTTTCCCCACACGCCCCATTTCCCCGTGGGGTGGATGGATGGGGCGCTTCCCTCGGCGTATCAGAGTGTCCAGGGGAGAAAGGAGCCAGGGCAGCGTGAATGATGTGAGTGATGTGAGTGATGTGAATGATGTGAATGATGCCATTGTGGGCCCGCAGCAGCCACCCCACCCCAGCCAGGAGAATCTTTAATTCATGAGCTCAGCCCATCTGGGGCTGCTGAATGGCGCCTCTGTGGAGCTCCCTTCCTGCTCCCCAGCCCTGCCAGCACCGACTACTGAGGCAGCTTTGGGATTTTTGGAGAACTGGTGCTAGGTGAGAGTCTCCTTGGCAACCTGCTTTTCAGCTGAATGGCAGAGTCTACCTTAAAACACTCGTTAAATATTTGTAAACGAGTCACGCAAGCCCCGCTCTGGTTGGCCAAGAGGAATAATGTGGGAATATTCCTTAAATAAGTCAAATATCACTTCCTTCACCAGAACACACATCCATCATGCAAATACCCAGTGGCAGGAAATGCTTTCTGTAGCTTTTTTTTTTTTGTCTTTTCGTGGAATCTCAGACTGGTTTGGGTTGGATCTTCTGGATCATCCAGTTCCACCCAAGGTAGGGGCACCTTCCCTAGAGCAGGTTGCTCAGGTCTCACTCTCTACATGACTTCATAATTAATCAAAGTATTTGATGTTAATTGGCCTAAATGACATGAGTTTTTTTACATAAGCTCCTAATAGCACAATCACTGGTGTCTGGCTGCTGTGACATCCAGTTCCTGCACTCAGAGGATGGAGAAGGCTCCTGCCTGTGATCCAGAGGATGGAGAAGGATCCTGCCTGGTTGGGGTTAGGGTCCCTGAGCTCCTGGAGCTGCACACACGTTCTGCTTGGGGCTCACCCAGAAATTCCCTGAGATTCCTGTTCTCCCTCATTCCAACACGCAGGAAAGGTGGAGAGAAAAGCCCCAGTTTCTCCCAGAGCTGTGTTAGGGCTGAGCTGTGTGTGCAGAGCTCAGTGAGGGCCCAGCTGTGCTGCTGAGAGGTTTTGGGACACAACAAGGTGAGTTCATGTAGAAAAAGCTGCGGAGCCTTTCCCAGAACCTGCTGCAAGCAGGCACAGGACAGCAGTTTGATTTGGGTTTGGTGGGGCTGGGATGAGAGGCTCGTTCCAAGGCCAGGCAGGGATTGTCAGGAGCCTGTTTGAAATGCACCATCCCTAACCCAGCTCTGCCTTCTGTCCCGTTCCTGGCACAGCTGGAGCAGCAGAGGCAGCAGCTGCTGACGGAGCGCCAGAACTTCCACATGGAGCAGCTCAAGTACGCCGAGCTAAGGGCTCGCCAGCAAATGGAGCAGCAGCACAGCCAGAACCCCCAGCAGCCCCACCAGCACCCCAGCGGGCCTGGCATGGCCCCTCTGGGGACACCAGCCCACCCTGGGCTGCTGCCCCACCAGCAGCCCCCGCCATACCCCATGATGCACCACCAGATGCCACCTCCTCACCCACCTCAGCCAGGTGAGAGCCAGCAGAGGGGGATCCCTGCCCTGAATCCCTGAGGAGCTGCCCCAGGGGCTGTGGGTGGTGTGGGTTACTGGTTTATAATGGTTTCCAGTCAGGCATGGCTGGCTGAAAGGATGAGCTTTGCTCGTTGTGCAGTTTCATTACAGAGCTCTCATCCCCATTCCAGATGTGTGGGGAGGAGGGTGGGAACCCCAAAGGTGAGGAATGAGGGAGGGCCAGGCTCCCCCAGCAGCACCAGGGTGGGAGGCAGTGGGCACAAAGAGGAGGAATTCCTTCCAGCCCCAGGAAAACGCTTCTTTCCCTGGAGGCTCATCGGGAGCAGGTCCTCCAGCAGGGCTGGGAGTCCTGCCTGGGACAGCCAAGCTCTAAAGTGAAATGTGAAACTGCCCCAAGCACTTCCAGATGTTTCCAGGTTATTTGTGTTTCCTTGGGCTTGTTTTATACTTGGTGATCTGAGCAGGTGCTCCTTTAAAACCAATCCCCCCTCAAGTTCTCCAGTTCCTGGCACACCAAACCATGTCCAGAAATGAAGGATGAGGACTGGGACAAGCAGCAGAGGCAGGGAGCTCCTGAAGGAGCTTCCTTTGGCAGGAGACCTGACTGTGAGAGGTTCCTGGATGTGTTTGATGCCAGGGGAGGGTCAGCTGGGCTGGGCTGGTCCAGCCTCTCCTGCTGGGTGTCTCCAGGAGCAGGTGATCAGGTGATGGTGGGAACTGGCAGCTTTTACCTGCTAAAGGTTGTTGGAATGGGAATTTAAAATCAAGTAACGGTGTCTGGCACGTGGGAAGCTGGCTGGGGGACAGGATACAGCCAAGGATGAGCTTGATCAAAACCTGCTCCAGAAGAACACCTGATCAGTTATTAGCCAAAAATATTCGGGAAGATTTTTCATGGGCAGCTGCTGAAGAAGCTGGAAAGTTTGGGTGTCATAATCCAGATGGAACATGGCAACAGGAAGCTGCAGGAACTTGAGTTTTCCCCTTGAGACAAAAAGTGTTTGGTTTGGGAAGGAGCAGAAGGGCACAGGAAAACATCAGGATTTGCAGGTGAGCAGAATGGGAAGTATCTAATCCAAATGGATCTGTAGAGTAATCAGAGATTCAGCAGGTGCAGAGAACTGGAGACTGGGCAGGAGGGGAAGAGTTGTCTGGTGAGGCTCAGGGAGTTCCTGGGTTTACTGTGGACAGAAATCCCTGGGACTGTCTGGGAGCTGTTTGTTTTTTGCTGGAATTGGATTGGGAGTGTGATAAAACATGGTCTAGTTTTAAATTTAACATCCTGGCTCTGGGCGTCTGTTGTGGGGTGAGGACAGCTCAGGGCTGCTCACGTGGCCATGAGGGAATAACCTGGAAAGGGAAAAGTGGGAAATGAGGAGAGAGGGAAGGAGGGAATCCTGGCACATCCATAGCCAGCTCTCCCTGCCACGCTGCAGTGGAGACTGGGACAAGATGAAAGCATTGTTGCATTTCTTCACTGACAGCTCCTTCCAGCTCTGCATTCCTCCCTTCCCGGAGCAGGGACAGGGAATGGGCTCTGGTAATTAGCCAGAACATCTCTCTTTCAGGTTTGATTAAAGCAATCTATAGATTGACTTTTCCAGCAGCACCTCCCCTGGCTCCAGCATCCAGAGCTCATTCCACACCTCCAGATCTGCCCTCACCTCCTGGCAGTTCTCTGGTTCGATGCTTTTGTAAAGGGAGGAATTTGAGGCCTGCTCAAAGTTTGGAGCAAACCCCTCTGTGTCCCCAGCCATGGCTGGTTTTGCCTGGAAGGCAGAGGAGGTTCATTCCCCCGAGTTCTCCAGAGCTTTGTTAGGAATGCCTGGGAAGCCCACGGGTCCCAAAAGCTCTGTGGCTGCACAGTGGAGTTTTTCTGATTTGGAAAGAAAATGGCAAACTGGTGAACTTCAGCTTGTTGATCCCACACCTGGGAGTTCCCTCAGTGGATCTGCCCCGAGTCTCCTGCAGCCTTGGTGGAGATCCCAAAATCTGCTGAGCGTGAGGAGATTGTGGAGTCCTGGAATGGTTTGGGTTGGACCTTGAAAATCACCCAGAGCCAGCCCTGCCATGGCAGGGACACCTTCACTGCCCCAGGCTGCTCTCACACAGGTCCTGACCTCAGCACCAGCTCAAGGGGCCACCCTGAGCCCAGCCTGGGAGGGCCTGACAGGAGCTGAAGGGATGGGGAGCAAAGGCAGGAAAGGATCTGAGATGGCATTTGGAGAGAGAAGAGGAGGAGGATGAATTCCTGCTCACAGCTTGCCTGGGCTCGGGGGCAGAAGCAGTAAAGCTCTTACCTAAAAGTTAAAAGTGAAGCTTTTCCCAAAAATAGGGTTTTTAGCTCAGATGTCAGTCTGGACCTGGTGGTGGGGAACATCTCCAGCCAAGGGTCACCCACTTCTCCTTGGCATGGCCATGTCTGGCTCTGCTGGACCATAGAATTCGTTTTCCCTGAGCCCATTTTGTTCTCCTCTTTGCCCTGGAATTAAAACTTTTAAAATAGGAAAACCAAGTTAGAATTTGGATTCCAATTTTACTGTGAAAAGCTGCACCTTGTCATTGTAATGGGAAATAAAATTCCCTGTTTCTTCCCATGGTACCACTTTTGGCACTTCATTGATTTCTCTTCAAGCTCTGGGCTGGTGATCAGTGGGATGAGAACTCCTGCTGTGGAATACGAGAAACTTCTGGAAATTCTTGGAGGAAGAGAGGTAGCTGGGAATTAGTAGCTATCATTATTAACTCTTCCTTCAGGTGGGATTTTCACCTGGTAAATAATTTCTGACCTGAGGCAGAAATGGAGTGAGGAGGGCGGGATACACTTCCCACCACAGCTGGATGAGCAGCTTTAATAACCTTTCCCCTGATATATTTTACCTCATTTTCTGTCAATGGTTGAAATACTCAAAAAAAAGTCTTTGTCAGGAATTTTGGGCCTGGGGGTTTTTCAGCTGCTGAGCATTTCATTTTTTGTGAGTTTAAATTAAGTTGCTGGATGTTATTTGCTTCCTTATCGTGCTGTTGATGATTCCAGGGGGCTTTTTGGGTACAGAAAGGATTTTGAGTTCCCTTCCTTTAGGTGAATATTCCCCAGCAGCTGCCAGTGCTTCCAGTTTCTCCATCAGATGTGCAGAGCTTGCTGGGGACGTGCAGGGAGCAGTGGGATGAGAGGAGATCCGAGAACGGGGCTGGAGCTGATCCGTGGCTGTGATTTGGGATTGGAGGTGTCAGGGTGACACAGGAGCATCCACACCACGTTGGGTCTCTCTGCTGCAGTTTGGCTGTTGGAAACCCTGCCCCAGGGAAGAGGTGTTGTGGCTGGAACAGTGAACAGGAGGAGTAAATGTTTGTTGTGGTACAGAATTCCTGGAATCCAGCGGTGAATCACAGCCACACCAGGACAGCGGTGACCGGTGCTGTGCTGGCCTCCCCTCCAGGGGCCTGAGCCTCTCCCTGGGATCCTCTGATCCTCTGGGATGTTTGGTGGAGGATCCTTCCCTCTGGGGAGGGCAGCAGCAGCAGCAGGGAGATGTTCCCAGTGTGTCCTACGTGCTTCCCAGGAGGCAGGGAATGGTGATCCCGGCGCCCTCGGAGGGAGGGGCAGAAATGCTGGATGCCAGTGAAGTGGAAATTCTGCCTCTCCTTCCCCGAGACACGAGGCTAAATGAGTTCTTGTGTTAATTATTCACACTGCTTGGCTGGGGGGGCGGCAGCAGGGAGGGAAGAATGGATTTGCTGTTGGAATATCCCTGCCCGTGGCAGGGGTGGAATGAGATGAGCTTTAGGGTCCCTTCCAACCCAAACCACTCCAGGGTTCCCAAAGCCTGTGAAAGCCATTCCCAGTGGGGAGGAGCACCCCTTGGAGTACCAGCAGGCATTCCCTGGAGCTGTTCTCCTGCAGCAGCAGCAGGGTGGCAGCCAGGCTTATCCCACAGTGCTGCCCTCCAAGGGTCCCTCCTGCACGGAGCCCTGCCTGTGTGCATGGAGCATTCCCTGTGTCCATGGGCTTTCTGTGTCCAGGGGTTTCCCTGATCAGAGCATTCCCTGTGTCCATGGGTTTCCTGTGTCCATGGGCTTTCTGTGTCCAGGGGTGTTCTGTGTCCAGGGGTGTTCTGTGTCCAGGGGTGTTCTGTGTCCAGGGGTTTCCCTGATCAGAACATTCCCTGTGTCCATGGGTTTCCTGTGTCCATGGGTTTTCCTGCTCAGAGCATTCCCTGTGTCCAGGGGTTTTCTGTGTCCAGGGGTTTTCCCTGCTCAGAACATTCCCTGTGTCCATGGGTTTCCCTGCACTCCCTCCCTGTGTCCCCGGGTTTTCTCTGCACTCATTCCCTGTGTCCATGGGTTTCCTGTGTCCATGGATTTTCCCTGTGTCCCTGGGTTTCCCTGCTCAGGCCAGGCAGGGAGAGATGCCGGAGGATTTGGATCAGCTCCAATCCTTGTGCATCACAACAAAACCCCTCTGGCTGCTTATCAGCCCAGTGCTCCTCAAGTGCTGATTTAATAGAGGGAGAGGCTTTTTAATGGAGATAAATACCTTGGAGAGCCTCTAAAGGCAATTCCTCCCCTGTTTCCCAGGAATGTGAGGCTGCATTGGCAGCAGGGGAAGGTGAACCTGCCCAGCCCCTCCGTCTGAGGGGTTTCCAGTCAGTAAAACCTCGTTGTGTTGAACCTTTGGGCTGGATCTCTTCCCACAGCTGCTGTTCCTAAGCTCTCCCCCCTATGTAGGTCACACTTGCACATTTTCTGCTTGAGCCGCTGTCTCGGAGCGCTTTCTCTTGGAAACAGAACGAGTCTGTAGGAGCAGGGCTCTGGTGCTGCCCTGGTGGCAGCGGTGATTTCCCCCTGCTTAATCCCACCCAGGATGGGCTCCTCTCAGCTCGGGGCTTTTGGAGCTGCCATGGCATGGGTTTGTTCCTCTGCCAGCTCCCTAAGCTAATTTTGAGATGAAAATGTCGCATCCCGTGTCAGGAAGGGAGAAAATGGGCGGCCAAAGGCTCACAAAGAGGAGCTGCAAAGCTCAGGGACACAACTTGAGCAAACCTGCAGCACCCCTTGGTGTTAAACCTCTGAGGTTTAACAGGGAAAAACAGGGACACTCCGAGGTGTGGGAAGGAGGGAGCTTCCCAGTGAGCATTGCTGGGAGATCTGGAGTTGATTTGGGTTGGAAGGGACATTCAGGATCATCCAGAGCCACCCCAGACATGGCAGGGACACCTCTGTCACTGTCCCAGGCTGCTCCAAACCCCATCCAGCCTGGCCTGGGGCACTGCCAGGGATCCAGGGACACACTTTGCATTCATGACATTTTACAAAGTAGATTTAGTTTCTGTTCAGTGGTGATTTTGGCTCAGCTGGGGTTGATTTGCATATAAAACATCCTTGAATCTTCACGTCCCTGCAGGTTTGTCAGCCTTTCCCTGAAGGAATTCTTGCCCAGTGCTGGAGTTTCACGTGAAGCCACTCACTGTGTAGTAAAGTCTGATTCAGCTTCAGGTGCTTCTGAAGAGGGATTTTAACATTAATCACTTCATTAGTGAGAGAGAATCTCGAAGGCCCGTGGTGTTCAGGGATGGCCAAATCCCTGAGGCTCCTGTCAGGTGGCAGCTCCCAGCCTGGGAATTCCTTGGTTCCCACCTTTCCTGGGCAAACACATCTGTATTGTTCCAGTTTTCATGATTTTTATTCCCTGATCAACCTGAACTTTGCCAGTGGATGACTCCCCTCATAGAATATCTATATATCTATATATATCTATCTATATATATATATATATATCTATATCTATATATCTATTTATCTATATATCTATATATCTATATATATCTATATATCTATTTATCTATATATCTATATATCTATATATCTATATATCTATATATCTATATATTTATATATCTAATATCCTTTTCTGCCACAAAGCCT